GCTTTATCGTGACGATTACCTACAATTCATTAATCCTTTTCGTTGTTTGATATTTTTTTAAGTAATGTAGGCAAAAAGCAAAATTTATACATCATATATGAAATGCTCGTTCAATCACTTTATCAGTTACAATCAGTGCACGCTCTTCTGCTTTCATCAGTGACCAGGTTTCACATCCGTACATCACTGTTATCAGCATAAAGATGATTTTTTAGAATTAATGGATTAACAACTAGTTCCAGACAGGACTGATACTAAGATCGTCAGAGCAAATAGTGTGCCTATCTGAAGCTCGTGCTTTTACCAGGACAGCCCTAGGCGCAGCTATGCCAGGCCCTTCAATCCTAGAAATTTGAAATATATTTCAAGTTTTTATAACAGTAATTTTATCGGGACAACAATATTAACAAATACCAGTTTCATTTTCCTTCATCTCTCCTTTTGCAACAAATGAGGACGGGGGATGTGAGGGAGAAAAAGTGAAAAGAAACATGATAATTATATATGTTCATATTTTCTCTACACTTAAAAACAAAAGCAATTAACTTTGAGAAGAAATCAACACAGCAACTGTGTAAAGTAGTAAAAAGAGGGAAAACTGGAAGGGAATGAGGAGGGAAGGAGCGGAAGGCAAAGGCCACGGCAAGGGCGTTTTTATGCCAGAATCCTTTGGTTCATACATCTTCCGGGCACAACAATTGTTCCACATCGCTAGGTAGAACGATGGATTTACGTAGCTACTGCGTTCGAAACATTCTGACTAATACTTCTCAAGAAAAATAAAGATAAAATCTGTCAATTTGCGGAAAAAAAATTCGAAAATATAGAGGGCAATCGCAAGGAATAAGAAAAATGAGGAGATACTCGATAGCCACATGCTAGAAGTGTAATTGCTACTCCTACCCTAAATTTTGCACATCAATCACTTATTCCGACAAATACGCTGCTATCTTATCGAAGATTCTTTGGCGATTGTTAGGAAATGTTCATTTGGATCCCCTCAAGGTAAGTGCCCGGAAGTTGACCGAATGATAACAAATGCCAACAACAACCAAACTCCTTGGAAGCAAACTGAGAGAGATTTTGATTTCCTGGCATGTGCTAGTACCAATTTACTATCCAAACGAATGGATAAATCGCAGAGGGAAATGGATAAACCGTAGAGAGATTGATATCCAATTGGTGAACTTGAAACTTTTGATCCACTGCACGACCACAGGGCGAATAATTGTTTCTATTCGAAAACAGTTTTCACGAAGTACAAAAAACTTTCCATTTCTAATTAGAAAATTTACGAATCAATGGGTTTTTAACCACCGGAAATTTACAACAAAACAAACAGTACCACAATTACAAAATCTTTTCATGAAGTTGAAAAGATGAGCACCGGTGTGTGGTAGCATTATATATTAACTGCCCAGACGATACTGGTCCTGCATAACAAATTTGGAAAAAAAACCGGCAAAAATGTTCAAGTAGCGTAACAAATTTGAAAAAAAACCGGCAAAATGTTCAAGTATCAGACATTTCGCTAAAATACACTCACAGGGCTCTCTAAGACTGATGAAGCACTCATATTGCAAC